CGACCCGTGCACATTTTAAAAGGTTTCAAATTCGGCTCCTAGGTGTGCGTAGTTCACACATATGGCTCTATGAAAGTTTTTGGCGTGAAAATTGCTAACTCGAGAACCAGAAAAGCTGGGAATTTGAAATACTGACGAAATGTTTTCTGTCCAACTACCACGTATTTGCACGACTAACTTCCCGAACTTCGAGAACCGCGTGTCACAAATTTTAGTTACGCGTTTTTCTGCATGTAAATTTTTTTTTGTAAGTCATCATCATAATTCGCCCTCATTCTTTTCCCTGCCACGACGAATATTTTAAATACTAAGATAAAGACTAACCTATAATATCAAGATACTGAGGCCGATGTGGTGTGGTGATCCGATTTTACTTTGTCGGGCCTGTTGTACCTATACTGGATTGTATGTTCCAGGGGAATATCCAGAATGACATGTGTTTCGACTTGCTGCCATTTCACCCCAAAATAACTTTATTCCATAACAGTTGATAACTACCGATAAGTACTGCTGATACTACTGATAACTACCATAACTACTACTAACTACTACTAACTATAACTACTACTAACTACTGCTATAACTATTACTGATAACTATTGATAAAACAGCTGATAAGTACTGTTTGATGGCCCTGGCACTCGCCTTTTTGCGTCCCTATTTCATTCTTCCGGAAAAAGTACTACCACAATCCTATTTCCCTCCCGTACGTTTCCGTTTTTACGTTTAGATGTCATGCGGGCCCGTCTGAAAATCAAAGCTTTCATTCGGACATCGTAACAAACGGTCTGGTTACGATTCATTGATTTATTTGCATGGTAAATTGCTTCTTATGCATGCTAGGAAGTCATGCTCACTCTCAGCTTCCTTCTAAGCAGCCTTCGCAGGAAACAATTGCCATACAAATCAGGTTATGGTGAAACAAGGCGCGAAAATGTTACTACGCGTAATACGACAGAAATGAAAACACAAATAATGCGGACAAATAAGTGAACGAAAGTGGGAAACATAGTGAAAACATTTACCTAGAGAGCACTGAAATGTTAAGCACAGCAGTTATAGGACACACATTTAATAGACATATGGGCAATAGTCTGCATTTCATTCTTTAGCTAAAAACACAGGTTTTGGTTCAAGTTTTAATACATTTTTTGGTTGCAGCGCTGTTTCTCCGCAACAATCCTCAAAAACACTTTGAACTTGCACGCGTGCATGTGTGTGTATTATTAAACATTAAAACAATGTTACTGATATTGCTAAACTTCTGGCTGCTTCATGGAACTAGACAAAAAAGCACGGTTGTATGTCAGCAGCCTCAGTGCACGACATTAAATATTCGTTTGGTATTTCAAAAAGCACAAGAACAACAATGAACTGGCAGTTGATAGGATAAGATTATGCTGCTAACGTTTAGGATCATCGGTGCAAAGCACATTAAATTCAGCTTATAACATGCAAACTCTAGTCAGAGTGGCAGGAAGGATAGGGCTAAAAATCAGAAACACTGCATTTTTGGAGATGCATAAAAATTCATTTCCAGGAAGAACGCAGCAGAGCTAATCGAAAACTCGTCCGTTTGAAGGGAATAATTCGCCATGTACCTCAAATGAGCAGAGGCATGAGGTATTTGACTGTGTGTGTGCTACTCTCATTATTCACTCATGCCATTTGTCGCGAGGACGATAAAAAAACCTCAAATATGTACGTTTCCAATAGAATAAAATTTTACGATCACACCTTCTCGACGGATGGAGAAAGTTACTGGCTTTGTTGACAAATCGTGGACGTTGCACATTAGCGAATG